CAGGCCTAATAGAGGAAAAGACTGTGAGACACCCTCACACATCCCCAGAAAACATGAAACCAACTACCCTGAACGAACACCCCAAAGCTATGCCCCCCCAAACACTGGTGGTCACGTTGCTGGTGATCACCATGCCAACTTCCTTTCTGGACTAAATCCCACAGTAGGTACGTAGACAAATACTTTCCCCTAACAAAGTTCTTAAAAATCCTGTGCTCCTGTATTTTATGGCATTTTAGTACTATTCCAGGTTCGTGACCAAAGCCATCAGACACAACCACCCAGCACTTCCCAAGGGAATGCGATACTTAAATCCTTGTCCAGACAGATGCTCAGATGATGAAATGCCACTAAAATGCCTGCCAGCAAAATCAGCCTGAACACACAGAGCCTATTTGGGACTTTACTGCGCAGGCTTGCTGACGTGGCAGCTAGATGCTTCAAATGAAACCAAGGACTCCCTGTGCTGTTCTGTGTGCAAACATGGAGATTGCCTCTGGCGTGGAAAGACTAGAAAAGTAATTAAGGATCGTTTGAGTAAGGATAGAAATACTAAGGATTTGGCTGAATTCCCCAGAGTTCTTTTGAATTTCCTACTAATATACCAGAATGATAGTTTGTGCCTTCTGGGATCAAAAAGAAAGACATCCACCTCCAAAGTCAAATCCAGTGAGAGCAAGCTGGTGAGAGACCGAGTCTACAGCTGCCTCTTGGTATTTAAAGAGCTCACACACCACCTCTGCTGCTATGGGGTTGTGGAGTTCTAAACACAAACCAGGTCATCAGAACCTGCTGCTCCCCTGCAGCCTACAATGGAGACAGACACCAAGGTTACAAGCAAGAGGGATGTCCAGACGATTAGCAAAATACAGTTGCCACAGTTGCTGTGGCATCAGTCAGTACCACATGTGGATCAAAATATTATCAAATTCTACTCTTCCAGCAACACTCAAACTTTCAAAAAATTCAGCTGGCTGAGATATGGTTTGGAAGAGTGCGTCCTCAGAAACTGACTCAAAACTCCCACTTGAAACTTCAGGGATTATTTTTCATATAATACCCACCTATTTGTTAGCTAAATCTGACCCTGCTTAGTTAGTTTATGACTGAACCCAGAGATGGCCTTTTTCCAGACAGCTTCTGTGGCCTACTTACCACCCCTTTTGTTAATAGTATGGCTTCTTTGCCTCCACTTCAAAGGTTCATTCTCATGTGCAGGAATTATTTTTTTTATTTGCTTTGGTTGCTAAGGGGGCAGCTTTAGCATGATAGGCAAGGATTTAGTGACATGCGAGCTACAGGGAACATTATCCTTTAGGATTAACTTGGAAATCAAGTGAGAATTGGCTGGGTATGTATTAGTACCACAGGATTTTTGCATCCTCTAAAGGAGATCTGTTCTTCTGTATTATGCATCCTCGAAGACAACAAAGAGGTATCATGCTCATCTCCAGTGTCAGAGATAAAATTAGTAATTTCACTGCAAATCAGAAAATAAACTAGATTATTATGAAGAACAGCTCTACACTCATCAAAAGGTTGATTCACAACTGCCTTTCAGAAGTACTAAAGGCAGCTGCTTCACTGTGAAGTTAATTCAATAAGCAGAAAGAACATAATTTATTTGGTACGTACTGTTTGCTAATCAAAGAGTATTTCTTGGCATCTGAACTGTGCATGACAGAATGTTAAGCCTGAAAACATATTGTTAGGCCTCAAAGTTTTTCATCAAATCCAAGAAACATAATGTGCATGCATTCGAGTGATTCTCCTCATTCAAGTGAAGATGAAAGCTGTGTTACAATGTTAAGTAACTCTGAGCTGTGGTCCTAGGAAGAGCTTAGGATAAATGGCTTTTTCCCCTCTTGCATTTGTGCAGGATAGAAAGCTTGATGACTTTATAACTTCTCCTTCCAAATTACTGTCCCACAGAGCATTACCTGTGATGACAGCAAGGCCTGTGAGCAAGTGTTATCGGTAAAAACCAGTCCTGGTATATCTTCTACTGAATTCAGTCTTAGGAGGATGAAACTGGGTTTTTTTTTTAATCAAGGTTACCATCACCTCCCATACTGCACATCTGTGCTGTGGCAAACAGGTTGAGGAATAATGTCACTTCTCCTTCTGAAACGTATCGCCTTAGGAGACTGCCCTGCTGAGGTCTGAACACGTAAACCTGCATCAACACAAGCAGCTGTGAGGAAAAAACAACCATCTTGGCTAAGGAGCCACAACATGAGCTACAAAGTAGCAGAAAGGAGCATTGGATTGCTGCATGGTGTTTCCCTGACATTTTCTTGGTCTGACGGATGCTGCAACTGAGAGAAACCAGTTTTTCCCTCTAAGGTGGCTACTGCTCTTCAAATTGTAAATAATCTCATGACTAACAAAAAACTTCAGAGATAAAAACCTACTATGTTTTACTGGATCTGAAAGGATCTAAAACTTTGCTCTGTTTTCAGAGTTAAGTCAATATGTAAATGAAAATGGACACTGTACAGATGGAGGGAAAAAGAGACAACTACAAGTTTTATCTGAAAATGCCAAAGAAGCTTTTCTGAAATGTAGTGTTTAATTTAGGGGAAAAAAACCCACACCAGAATTATTTGAAAAAAGTCAACCTTAGTCCACATTTGCATTCAGAGCATTCGAAGTTCAATGTGCAGGGAAAACCCCACTCAAGTATGGTTATAAAACTGCCAACAAAGGCAAGATACTGAATTTTTAATGCAAAGCTCTTCACCAGCATTTATTAATAAGCAGAAAGCAAATATAAAGTGTATAAATCTATGCAGCAACTGGCACCAAAAGCACTCTTTTTTACAAATAATTATGAGATGGTTCAAAGTAGCAAACAGAGCCCAAGTGGAACATAGGCCCCAGCTCCTTCAGTATGAATGGCATACTTTTAAGTTACTGAAACATTAATGCAGCAAGATTGAAGAGAATTCTGTAAATTCTATTAATTGTGCTCCATCCTTTAATTGTTCATCTATTTACTTTTTAGCAGGATCATCATCAAGTGAGGAGCAGTTCTGAGTGGGTTTACCTTTAGAGCAGTTAACACAATATACAAGCTCATTTTCTATGTAGACACACATTCTATGTACACACATTCCAAGCCTGTGTCTTCCTGCAGTGTATTTTTGTAATAAAAGTACAAATAAAAATTCAAAATGAGATGCTACCTTGGAAGACTAAATACTAGCTTTGGAGATAATTTTAAAGCTCCATCTCTTTTCCAATGGTTAAAAGAGTTATATAAAGAAGGAAAAAAGTATTCATGCAGCAGCTGTGATTACACACTTGTGACTTGTGAAAAATCTCAGTTGCAATTTAAAGAAACAACATTTCCAGGTATTCCTGCCCAATTATTTACTGACATTTCAAGTTAGTTATCTCAAACTTTGCTGTAGAGAAAGGTGTACTAAGAGTTCAAAGGCTCAAGCTTTTCAGAGCTGAGCCAAACATATCCAGGATCCATTTGAAGTTTTTATTTTTCCAAACAGCTTAAAGGATGCACATTTTGAGCCAGAGAAGAAGAAAACGTTTTTTAATGGCTATTCTATTGATGCAGCAGGTTTTAAGAACCACCTGGTAGTTTCTTGATTGTGTTATTTAATGTTCTAAAGAACACTCAGAAGGATGTTTACCAGGGAAAAAAAAATATCCCTGAACACCAAGGTGAGTGTTTAGCAGTAAAATCCATCAACAAAGTAAGATTTCAGCACAGAGCAGTGCCCTTCAGATTCAGCAGAAATGGAAATCCCCAGTCCAATGGAGCCTATAAAAACATATGTGGAGGATATACAAACAGCTGCAAGTGCAATTGTACAAGCACTTCTGAATCATATTCCACTGCTTATAAAACCTTCTGTGTCAGTGTTTTACCATTTCAGGTAAAGTTTTCCCCTGTTTTTTTTCAATTTAACAGTCACTTGGGAAGGTTGCCATAAAAACGGCTCAACCTTTCCCAAAAATGAGGCATGTTTTCCTCGCAGGTTGTAGTGTCACAGGCACTGCATCATTCATCTCATAGAAGGGGACAGTGTTCCCAGTAGACCTTCCTGGCACAGGCACATCCATGCAGAGAGCAGAACATTAGGAGGCCAATGACCCCCATTATAAATTCTTTACACTCTGCAACCCTTCCATTTTTAAGGGAAAAAAAAAAAAGTAGCTCTTTTGTCTTGGCATTAAATTTTAGGTTTCCTATCAAGTTGTCAAGAACACAGTCATATATACAAGCCTTTAAGCTGAAAACTGGCTGTGATTTATCAAAGTCAGAATGGTATAAATAATGTATGTATTGCACAGATGGCTTTTTTTGTAATGTAGCAACTAATGGCCTGTCAACACAGTATTCCATGTACAGAACCTCTACAATGGTCTGCAGTCTCTTTCCTGTTTGATAAATGAAGGCCTGTTAGGAGGCAAATTCTCTCTAATGATCTCCCGATATTTTTGATAGAATGTGTAATGGTATGCAGAAAGAAAAGACATTCCTCTTTAAGGTGTGCAAAAGTAGTTAACGATGCAAATTCTGTAGGCTTTGCTGATGAACCAAAATGAAATAATTATTTACCCAACTCATGAAGCCTGATACATAAATAAAACCATAAATGATCTAGATCATTCAGATAGATTTGTCCACATCCAGTAAGGAAATCAAAGGCAAGATGTTCAGTGTATGTGGTAAGAAACAACATTTGAAAAATAAAACAAATGGAAAAACCTGTGCAGAAAAAAAAAAAAAAAGGCCAAGCCAATCCCCTAAAATCCCACTAGGCTTTGGCACCAGATTTTCTTTCAAGATACAAAAGCTTGTCCTTCAATGTGTTTTTTTTCTATAAATATTTTAGGATGATGCCCAGGTTCTGACTAACCCACAGTAGCGTGCATAAAGACATCTCCTGGCATTTCTTTAAAAGGAATTAGAAAAGCAGCATTTCCAACACACACATTCAGCACAGTCAGCACATTACCTGCCAGAAACTTACCTTTCTGTGATCGTTTCTCTGAGACCACTAGCAACCCCTTTCACCACTGTACTAGCCTTTGGCGTCAGCACTACTTGAGATATAAAAAATGAGCCCTTCTTTCTTCTTTCAGTGATTGATGCCTGGAGGAATTGAATCAGTTTTTCCGGATCTGTGGTGTTTGCCCAGGGAGCTGGCATCATCTGGCCTGGCCAAAGAAATGGTACCTCAAGAGCCACTGGACTGTGGTAGAAAACCAGCACTTGGTGTTCCTTTTCCCACAGGTACTGGAGGCTGACTTCATGGGCGAATATAGCAGGACACATTTTGTTTCCATACGTGTCTTTGAGCATTTGGACAAGCTTTTCATGATGGTATTTCTGCATCCCGTAGAAGTGATTGAAGTCCAAGAAGACCACTTCTTTTGGGTGGTCACTGAGAAACGCATTGATCTCTTCCAGACCCTCCTTGACTTTGGCACTGAATAAACCATGAGCAAAGTAGAGTTCATTGTCTGGGTCTCTAGGCTTGGTGGAAATTCTTAGATCAAAATACCGTATACCTGCCCCCAGCTGGCTAGTGAAGTTCATGGTTTGTGTAGCCAACCACTTCCTCATCAGCTTTTTAGCCACAGTCCCAAAAACAGACACAAAATTCTGGACCGTCTCTGGCTGTTCAGGCCCAACTGGAGAGGCTTCATCGATGTAGAAGCTAAATGAATCATGAGAGCCTAAAAACACAACAGAGGAGAACAATCAATATTGTATTAATCTGTTAAAAGTCATTAGTGATTCTTTATTAATAAACATAATTTTCTGACCTGTATCAAATCTCACCAATGGACTCCTCCCCTGTCCTTTTTCTCAATAAATTACATTTGTCTGGCAGCATTTACCCCACCAGCAGCTTGCAGGAACTTAAAGGAAATGCAGGGCCTGTTTCACTGTTTGTCTGGGCATTCTCTCACTCTCTTCTAGATCTTACTTTTATGCCTTTAAGCTCACTGAAGTCAGTGGGCTCTGAACGTCCGAGCAATCCTGGTGTAACTCCAGCAAAGCCAGTCACAAAATAAAATCCGTAGAGCCAACAAGGAGAGTCTGACCCTGCACACTGAATGGTACACTGTCAAGCTTGCAGAACCAAAGGAAAAAACATGCACACCTTTATAGCCAACTAAAATATGAGTTGAAAAATACCGATGGCATGTATCTTTCTGACCTTTTCCTTATTTCAATTCTCATCTGGTCACTAACAAGGTGACTGAATGCTGTTTTCCTTCTTAAATTTACCTCTAAAATTCTTTGCTTTCCTTTGCTACTGAAGTACAACAAATAGAGCCAAGGATAACATTGCATTCCACTGATAAAATACAGAAACTCCACTGCATTCTCTTGACAAGAATGAGACGTATTACTTATGCTTATATACAGAAGTCACCACTTCCACAACATAACAAAGTTGAATACAAATATGTAAAACATGAGCTATGCAAAATTCTCTGTCTCAAGGTACATCCACTAAAAAAAAAAATAAATCAACCAACAAAACCACAAAACAAAAAAGCCACAACTTAGTTTGCACAGTATCTATACATTTACATGAAAGTCGCTGATAAAGCTAAGGACATCTGCAAACACATGATCATTCCTCTGTAAGTGACTTTGTCTTTGACCAGTTGCTTTATGGTGAGATGAGCTGACCCTAGGAGATGCTCATCACCCTGGTCAACCACTAGCCTTCTGAATACCTAGTGGTGAAATCTGGCAGTTTATAGAGAAATTCTGTCTGGCTGCAGGCAGAGCTGCACTGCTGCTGTCCCAGCAGGAGGGGATGCTTCTGGTCAGACTCACTGTGGCAAGCAGGTCTGCTTCTCAACCTATGTCACACTGCTTCCAAAACTCCTTCAAGGTCAGCAGGCATTGTATTTCTGAAGTGGACTGTAGCACTCAGGGATCCACTCTGAGGGACGGGATTCCTCAGAGATCCAAATCCTAGCATCAAAATGCATTCAGAAGACAAGCCTTGCCTGCTACTGACATTTCTGTAGGTGCTCTTCAAAATTACTTTCCAAAGCATGCATACTGTGGCAAGTAAATATCACATTACTGAAATCCTGCTAGTCAGTCATTTCTGATGGTGATGCTATTTTAAGTGAACTGGAACAAACCCTATAAACTGAAGTGACAGCTAAAATATTCTCTTCTTTAACAATAAATGGAGTCACGACAAATCATCTTAGACTCTGGCTTGGATTTGGCTTTGTTTAATCTGCAAAATGTCTTAAAATTTTGTACACCCCTGCTTTTCATGGTTGTCTCTTTGAACTGCATTTTACTTTAAATATTAGATAAATTTTCCATTTTGATGAAGCTTTCTAGTGCTAACTGCTGAAGCAATAGCATATTCCTTGCAGAACCTGATTAGATCACAGAGTATCTGGTTACACACTGATATCCCAGGGGACCAGATCTGCATATAGAATTTTAATGGTAAAACAAATGATTGGAGCAGTGATTTGTGTTTCAACAGTATTACAGGGAAAATCAATGAGATATATTAAATGTTCTGCTCATTGTAACCAGCACTAATCTAGAAATCAAAGTAAATCCAGTCTTGTTTAAAACAAGGCATTGCTACTGATCTTAGCAAACACTCACTTTGTACACTGAAGTCCCTGTTATTTCAGCAGGATTTTATGTCATAGTAAGTACATGTATAAACATGATTAAATGACTGCAGCAGTAGGCTAAAAATGGTATTAAGATTAATTAAACCACTTGTCCTTTATTGTCTGCTCTACAGCCACTGGCAACCTGAAGTTGCAGAAGAGGTAGCCAAACTTGATCACCATGGCCAATATGAAACATAGTGCCAAACACTACTCAAAAATATTTGAGAGAGGAAGCACAGTTCTTAGAACAGAACACCAAGGTGAACAACTTATCAGCAGGTAGCATTTAGCTACTGGTAATGCAAAACAGAGAAGAGACCGG